GTCTGGTCCATAATTGGGGGGCTTCTTTAATCAATCTGGCAAGTTCAAGTTGATTTTCCAGAATATCGCAAAATCAGAGCATGGTTCAACTTTCACCTCATTGAAGCCTCTCTGTCCCACCAGGTGGACTGTACGTACCCCTGCCATCCGCTCAGTTCTCAAGCAGTATGAGTCAGTGCTGATGGCCCTTGAAGAAATGGCATCATGCAGCTCACCTGAAACTTCAGCCAAGGCCAATGGTCTTCATGGAACATTTCTTAAAGGGAACACTGTGCTCGGCCTTTTAATGGCTGAAGACCTGATGGGGGATTTGGAGTGCCTGAACACCTCCCTGCAGCTTAGGAAACAGACCGTTTCAGGCATGTTGGAGGCTGTAGACCATGTCAAAATAAGCATGCAGGTCAAACGAACGGAGGAGCATTTTTGATGTATTGTTCTCGAAAGCAACTGCTGTGGAAACAAAGTTGGACCTACAACCAATTCAGATCCCTCATGTCCGCAAACCTACAAAGCGTTACACCGGTCAGGCTGCAGCCCATATCCATCCCGATGCCCAGTCCTTGTACAGAGTCCAATTCTACAATGCCTTGGACACAGTGAATACTCAATTCATAGAGAGGTTTGAACAAGCTGGATTCCACAAGCTGCAGCAGCTTGAAAATTTGCTGCTACACGGAGACATGGACAAGGTGGTAGAAGAGTATCCTGATTTGAATTCAAGACTACTGCAGGTGCAGCGGGCCATGTTTGGGGCTAATTACACCTATGAAACAAGCTCAGATGTTGCTAGCATTATTCGGGAAATGGTGCCAGAGGTGAGAGGTCTCTTCGGTCAGGTGGAATCTTTAGTAAGGCTTCTGTTGGTCGTCCCTGCCTCTTCTGCAGAGGCTGAGAGGAGTTTTAGTGCCCTGGGGAGGCTTAAGACATGGCTTAGATCATCGATGAGTCAAACGAGGCTGAATAATGTGGCCATATGTCATGTGCACCAGAAGAAACTGGACAGACTGGACCTTGAAGGAATATGCCAGTCTTTTATCAGTGCCAACGATAAGCGCAAAAAGGCTTTTGGGTCCTTTACTTGAGGGTTGGGCTTTTTGGGCGGGTGTCTGGGAGGAAGTTGGGGTTCTTTTTGATTTTGAATGAGCGGCAAGCAGCTAGTGCGAGTCGTGGCTGTAAAACAAAAGGGCAATAAAGTGTTCCTGTTTCTACTGAAATTGCGTGGCACAGACCTTTCTATGAATTGAAATGCTTTAATGTGATTATGGTTATAGTTGTACTTTATTCATCCCTAATCTCTGCCATTACAAACAACAAAACAAGAAAAGCTAAACTAGATCAAATAGGGCGTAATACAATGCACAATTAGACATTATGGTAAAACATTTTAACCAGTTAAGCCCCAAGCCTGTTTTTCAGGTCTCAGGTTTGAAAATGACATTCCCAGAACAATTGACTATATCTTCACTTCTAAAAATGGTTAAATTAATAATCTTTTTTCTCAAAGCAATGATAAACCTGTGAGTTGGATGTAGAAAAAGTCAGAATCAATATATATGTTTTTAAAGTAAATTCAGATTGAACATAGTAAAAAAATGTAAATGATAGTGTAACAAATAAACCATTACTTATAGTGAAAAGCACCCTTGAATGATGGGATAGTAGACTAAAAGCTTTAGGAATCCAAACTATAACATATAATAAGTACCCTGTATCAAGATTGATGCAAAACAAGTATTTCCAAGGCACACCTTTATATGATCATTATAGTTATACAAAATAAGAGAATAACAGGTATGAAATCATTCCAACTCATACTACAGTTTAAAAAGGGAGTGATTTGTAAAATATGCATAAAGAGTAGTAAATCTGTTCAGTTCTGTTTCACATGGGTGTTGTTGAGATGTATCCATAGATTTAGTCCCTAATGTTGCTCTCAAAGTGCACCAGATTGATGCTTTTAACTTCAACATTTAAAAAAAAATCTTCCCGGGGGAGGTTAGGTCCCCCGCCCGCCCACACCCCCCGTCAAATTGTCCCACCCACATTGAGGATGCTTCCTACACCCATGCCTGAGACACAGTTTTGTGACTATTGTTGTGTTTTGCCCCCACGGGCAGGGGCATGGGGTTTAACAGGTTTTAAAGTATCCAATGTGTTAGTGATTTTTTATGTATTCTCCTTTAGAATGGCAGGAAATTAGTATTCAAATTGTTGGTCCCCCCCAATGTTGACTCCATGAATACGGCCCTGCTCCAATGTAACGGAAAAACATGAAAAACTCAATAGTAATAATAATAATAACATGTCTCCACTGATCTGTGTTGTAAGTGTGATTTCTGTATGATTCCAATCGCTTTTTATAGTCAAAATCAGCAAATTGGCCGAGCTCCACTACAACTCCTACATGGGAGCGATGAGGAGTGAGGCAGGGACGAGCTCTGCCTCACGTAAACCCACAGTAACGGTACGTCCACACAGCAGCTTTAACAAATCTTCCAACGCTTCTCTGCCCATTGACTTTGAATGGGGATGACGTCACTTTGCCTTGCTTTTCGCCGAACTGCATTGTGGGCGAGCGAAGCGAAGATTTCCACGATTTTCAGGATTCAAAAGTTGAGCAATGTTCAACTTTTGAAGCTGAGCTGGAAGCGTCAGCCAATCAAATCCCGTTTATGCAAATCTGACAGAAGAAGCGCTAGCCAATCAAACCGCGTGTAAGCAGGGAGAACCAGACCGCAGTTCATTTCCTCATATTCCAAACGAGAAATTACGGTAGCAAATCACCCGGTTCTTTACGACCAGAACTATTAACGGGATACAAACTGGAGGAACCAGGCATGGAGGGAGGTGGCAGAGACAGTGGGTGAAACTGGTAGGTTTTCGCCTGTTTGGGGAGTTTATATATATATATATATTGCTCGCATAAAATCCCCGGGGTTTTTTGCTTTGTATGTCGGGGGCGGGAGATTCATGTGATTGGTTGTTGGTCGCGTTGCTCGCAAAAAGATCCCCAAGCTTTCAGACACGCCCAGCTCCAAGATTTTCAAGATTTTTGAAAAGCTGCTGTGTGGACGTACCGTAACTGGCTGGAGCGCGGGCACTAATTTAGCACGGGCACTTATTTTGTGAGCGCGCTCAAGCCAGTTACTGTGTGGTGAGGTGAGGCACAGATGAGATCTGCCTCACCTCAGAATGCGTCACCCCACAGAAACTGGCTGGAAAGCGGGCCCTAAGCGCATGCCTGCACCATCTCACTGTATGTCACCAATGTAATGTTTGTAGATCCCTTTATTACATTTATCCTCGCCATCCATAGTCTCTAAATAACTTATTTCACGTATATATGATATTTAGGCTCGCTGGTCTCATCATACAACGGCAATGAAAAAAGCACCGAGGGAGGCAGCCATAACCTCTGCCGCACTGAAGGGGGCACACGTGAGCCCACAGGTTCTTGTTGCTACTGTTATTCTACGCAGACGCAAACAACAAGCTAGACTTTTGAAACTAGAGGAAGATAAGGAGGACTTTTACAAAAATGTAATGGAGATTGTTGTCCAGAAGGATAGCATGGACTTCATCTTCAAGTCAAGGTAAGACCATAATTGTAATGAACATGGGATCTTACTAAGAAAGAACAATCCAATATTTAGATTTCAGGTATCCTTTTGTTGAACAGTCTGTTTAAAATGAATCGAAGCATCAGACTAAAAAAGCTTTTGAAAATAACCGAATATTTCGATTATGGTCAAAATATAATATTTGTAAATCTGACTCTGAAAGAGTCAGTGCCTCACCAGCCATGAACCTCACCGCACGTCACTGATCTATATGATGTCAAGAGTTACATTTAGGTGCACAGTGCTGTCTCTTGACTTGCACGCTCTTTTACCAAACAAGCTAACGCTAGCTGGGTAAATATGACGCTCTTTGTATCAAAACAAAACTGATCTTCTTATATATCGACTTTTTCCACTTCGATCAACTTTGTTTCATCCGGCTTCAATTTGCAGCACGTTGTTCGTTCTCTCCAGCGCCATATAGATAGAACTATGCAGTCTATATGGCGCTGGTTCTCTCTATGTCTGGTCAGACATCAATCTGTTCCACGTAGCGCGCCCCCTAGAGGCCTGGAGCACTTCCGGAATGTTTTTATTTTTTATGTGTTTTGGGATTTGTACGTGCTTTGGACTTTGCATATCGTGCAGCGTTTTTTTGTTGCGTTTGTTTTCGGGGTTTGTGTGTTTTTCATTTCAGCATTTGCAGCTGTTTCCTGCTAATGTATTCGTTTTGGGCCGTTGTTCCGCGTTTGCACCTGCCGGCCACCGTAGAAGGGAGACTGGAATACAGTATATATATATCAAAACAAAAATATCTAATTTCAATTATACATTTCAAACACAGTATTTTCCCACATATTTAAGTTGTATTCATTTGGATTGATGCATTCATGTTGAGAATGTTCCATTCAAAAATGTAATTATTAAAAAGCCATTTACACCATAAAAGATGACTATTGAGATCTATTGTCAGGAATGTAAGTCTTATATGTATGGCCAGAGGGCAGGACCTATAAACACATGTACTACCCAATAGCATTGTGAGGCTGAACAAAATGACCTTTTGACTATGTAGATGTAGTCTTTTAAAAAAAAAAAAAAATTTGCTGACTTTTTTGGATAGCTTAAAGTAATGTTGTAATCTGGGGATGAGCAAGAAGCAGCCACGCTGCGACTACTCCTCACCCACGTAACCAAGGAGATTGATCCAAAGAGCCCTTCCGTAAACACGGGGGCTCCCGGCCCGGGAGATCAACAACACGGTCCTTTTTTTTGCGGCATGGCAGACAACGGCGGCGGCCACGATCAAGCTACAAATAATCGCTCTGATCTGGTGAGGTGGGGGCATCTCCAGCAATGAGCGAGATGCCCAACACACCCATGTTTATTTGCAGTCGCCTTGTCACGCGGTAGCGTGGCAGAGCTGTTTTCAGCATACTGCGCAGCCTGCTGCCCGCTGGGAGCAGCTGCGCTCCGCCGCCATGGTCATCACCTAGGGCGGTGGACCTCCATGGACCGGACCCGGAAGTGCCCGACAACGGCAAACGGAGCCATCCGCCCCGCTGGAATGGCGACGTGAATGGCACCGCCTCGGCCATATCCTGGTCCCCCAAACACTCTAAGCAGAGGTGGTGGAGACCGGCGCCCGTGATCAAACCAGGGCAGGTGCATGGCCGAGCTTCCAGTAATGGTGAGTCCATTTTTCCTTCTAATCTTCGTTTGTTTAACTCTTCGGTTGTCAGCTCGTCTGAAGAGAAAAAGAATAGCGGGCGGCGGGTGTAGCCGCCTTTATATACTGTGGGCCTGCGCGCGCATTCAGGTAGGCTCGCCCCGATTGGCCGGCTACGTTTACGTAAACTCAGTAGGTGAAAGCACGCACAGCATGATCGAGAGTAGTACCCATAGAGTCCAGTAGAGGGCGGAGCCTGTGTGAAATATAACTGCATTGTCTCACTGAAACAGCCCTAAAAATCACAAACTGCCTTTAAAGAAACCCAATTCCTTACAAAGTACTTCATATTCTACCAAGAAACCAAATTCCTTACAAAGTACTTCATATTCTACTAGTTGTAAAGTGTTGCCCACTTCAAAGTGTATCTAAAAGTATCTTAGTAACACAAACAAAAGCAAAAAGCATTAATGTTAACAAAACTGGATTGTCTTACTAAAATCACAAAGTGCCTTTAAGAGTCACAGTCTTAAAGAAAATCTATTTTAGACAAAGTATTTCATTTTTCTAGTTTTAACTTTTTGCATACATAAAAGTGTATTTTACAGTACCTTGGTATATATGTTGCACTGTTGGAGGAGCCTGTGACCTTTGTTTTTCATTGACATACTGTATCTACACTGTAGCTAATGTGCAGATGACAATAAGAGCCTTGAAACTGAAAAACTGCATTGTCTCTGAACCACCCCTAAAAATCACAAACTTCCTTTAAAGAAACCCAATTCCTTACAAAGTACTTAATATTTTTACCAGTTGTAAAGTGTTGCACACTTCAAAGTGTATCAAAAAGTATCTTAGTAACACAAACAAAGCAAAAAAGCATTAATGTTAACAAAGCCTCAAAGGCATAGGCGGCTCGTCGTGAGGCAGGTTTGGGAAGGCTAAATAACTTTGTTTACCTGACACTGCCTGCCTCCGGCATCAATAGATAAGAGATCAACCGAGATCAACTCTCAGTGAAGCACCGCCTGCTGACCAATCAGAGCTCAGTGTGCAGAGTTTAAATCTATCAAGTCATATTACAGGATAAAGGAAATACAGAACAACTGCTGTATGCAGGGAAGACGCCGACGTGTCGCACTTATCATTCATATCACATCATCAATCACATCATCGATCATATAATATCATAATATATCATATATGTCCTTATCTGAGTCAGCTTCTCGAGCCGTATCTGGCCGTGCAAGACTTACAGTGTCACATACTGTATGCAGAAGTATTATTTTAAGCAACACATTAAGTTGACGAAACACTCAACTCAAATGTAATTATGTTAATTATTTAATTATTAAGTCAGATCACTCGTGTCTTAGATGAGGCAGTGATATCATAAACCTGTTAATGTAGCCTACGCATTCAAACACTCGGTAGTTTATTTATTTTGTAACCAGCTATGTTGCTTTTATCCTGGATAAAGTGTTTATAATGGATGTTTAAAGTTTAACTTCTTCATATTTGTCTAATATTATAGTTTCATTGTCATTAATGAAGTATGACGCTGCGCTGTCAAAAGTACGCTTGTCCATGTTTGTGATTGGTCAAATATTTATAGCCCCGCCTCTTGAACTTGCTCTCAGCCACTGAGAAACCCTGATTTACTGAGTTGATAACCAGCGTCGTGGACCGCATAGCGAGATCTCGTTTGTTAGGATTAGTTAAGATAACTCAAACATATCCAGGGTATGTTGAACTGGCTTCGTAGTACAGTTTACTGGTGGCTGCATAGCAGCGCTAATGTCAAAGACACAAACATTATAGGCTACATTATATTTAAATGTTACCAGGATGCAGTGACAAACATATTTGGGAAGGCTTAGCCTTCCCTAGCCTACAGTACCCGCCGCCCCTGCTCAAAGGGCTGACTCCTGAGCTCCGTAATGTCTCCCTAACATGGCACTTAGCTATTTATATCATCCAGGGAAACACACCAGTAAATGCACCTCTCTTTGTCCGCTCTTCAAGCTTCAAAGGGCGGACTCCTGAGCTCTGTAATGTCCCCCTAACATGGCACTAAAGCCCTGGCCACACAATGACGATAACGCAAACAGACCGCAATCGTTATCAAAAAAGTCTTCCGTCCACACGCAACAGGCACCAGAAACGTGTCCGTTCATACGAGACCGCTCGAAAGCGTTGGAGATGCTGCAGTACAGGCAGTGCTTGAATTGGAATGAAAAAGGTGCCAGTACTCTAAAATCAGCAACTTTTTCAAGTCAATTTTATATATACAGCCCACAAACAAGAATTTGGCTACTATAATGCTGGTGGGTTTGTCTCTTTACTACTGTATATTTTAGAAAGGTTCACTGTACTTAACATTTTTTATGATAGGCAGCGGATATGGCTAAAGCTCAGTAAGGTCAATATTAACTGAAAATATAGCAATCAAAGTCTAGATCTTCTGCTGAAGACACATGAAGCAGAGACCTTTCAGGTGAGAGCCCCTCTGGTGGTGTTCAACATTAATGACAAGGAAACAAAGCTCTGGTCAGAAGCATTTTTTATAAAAAAGCTTTAACAAAATTAAGTATTTCTGTACATTTTGAATGCAATCTAACTTTCCAACTCAGAAAACGAAAAAACGAAAAAGTGCCAAAAGTCTTCTCACATGGCTGAGCTGCTTTGCAATATACTTCACCACTGAAGAATACAAATATGTATAAAGTAAACTATGATGCAATCTAACTTTCCAACTCAGAAAAATGATAAAGAGCATGAACAAAGAACATGTAAAAACAAATGCAAAATTTGCACAATCTAAAATGAGAAACTGTAACTGCAAGTAACAAAGTCTGAGCCATGGTAAAGAGTTACATTGAACACCAAGCTGATCAGATAACTCCCTGGTTGGTCTGAAGTCCTTCTATCTCCAGGATCTGTACAAATCGGCACATTATGCCAAAAGTCTTCTCACTGGGTGAGCTGCTTTGCAATATACTTCACATTGTTAGAAAAGGCTCCAGAAGGCCTTGGGGACATCAGTATCAGGGGCTGGAGCTGGACAGGCTCTTTCATCAGCACTTCTCCTTCCCTTTGCCAGCCAGGACCTCACATACTGTTCCGGATTGAACTGTCCTAGAGATGGTCCATTACATTTAATGAAAACCAGGCTGGACAGTCGGCTGACAGAGAGAGCATTCCTTTTTGCAGTAAGGATATCGTTCATGTAGCTGAATGCCCGCTCACACTCACTAGTGGAGACAGCGATGGTTCGGACTGCTTTCAGTAGAGGCTCCATGGCAGCAGGTGTACGGGATGCCCTGGTTTCCTTGTATTCGCGAAAGCCCTGAACAGTCTCTCTTCTGTCCACTTTCAGCACTTCGCACAAACGTAGCACCTCTACGTCCCCATACTGTACGTCTAACTCCTCTTCAGGCCAACTTCCAGGATGGATAACTTTCATGTCCTGGATTAGCTGATTTTCCCGGGCCTCCCGGCCATGTAATGGGATTTCTCTTGTGCTGACATGAGAGGAGGTTGTGGAAGTCATTCTGTGTCTCAGATTCTCTACCATACTGCGGAAAAACTGACCTGCATGAATCTGTACAAGCCTGCCATTCTCACGCAGGGCAAACACCCTTGAAGGACTTCTCAGCTAGAGCTGTATGAACTGTAGTCATGTGTGGGCCAGGCATGGTGACCATGGATTCAAAAACTCGTATTTCTCGAGTTAAGAGCCTATCTGCTGTAGGCAGTGTCATCTCTCTTTTTTGGAGTTGCCGAGAGAGGTCGCTGAGCTCTGTGAGCGCATCGTACATCAGTCCCAGATTGCTGACAAACGTTGCAGATGTGAGCACATCATCCAGGCCCTTGTACTTTGCTCTGTCTCTGGAATCCCTGCTCGTGTCGTTTGCAGCATTTGTGAAGTGATCATGAAGCACTCGGTAGTTTTCCCAGACTGCTCTGACGCTCCTTTCACTTGAAGCCACCCAGCGGATGGACAAAACACGCCCTATCACCAGGAGACGCTGTCCGACTGCTTGCGCACACTGCGCTAACTGCCTCTGATTTTTGGGGGAGGCATGGAACAAGGAATAGAGTTTGTCAAAAAAGATCTGGAAATGATTGAGCCCTGAGACCTCCTTGACCACATCCCCAACTGCCAGCTCTAGACGATGATTGGAGCAGTGCCACACAAACAGGCTTGGGAATTTACTACACAACTGGGTAGCAACGCCTGTTCTCTTCCCTAGCATGACTGAAGCCCCATCACATGCAAAAGAAACGAAACACTGACCTAAAAAGTCCTCGTTAAAATCTCTTCCAAGACACTCCATTAACGCCTTTGTGATGTCATCAGCCGTTGTTCCATCCAACTCGATCAGCTCCCAAAAAAACGTTTCGGGCTCAGCATCAGCTAATGCTGAGCGTAGACACACAACAAGCACCGTTTTACCACTAATAGTGGTAGATTCATCGACCAAAACACAGAGTTTTCTTTGGTTTTCTGTAATGTCTTTTGCCATTTTTTTCTTCAGCTCATGAGCTATGTGGTCGATGATTTCGCCACAGGTTTTATTGGAGTGCAAAACCCTGCCCACGTTCAGCCCATTCAGTTTCTGTACATTCAAATCAATTGGCATGTCTGTGAATGGCCGGCTATGTTTGCCAATTTTATATGCCGTTCGAAAAACTCTGATAGTGGTGTCTAATTCAGATGTATGCATAGACTGCACTTGATGTTGAATAGTTTCACGTGAAGCAGATGTAAGGATGTCAGCAGCTTTTACATGGGCTTGTGATTCTTTATGTTCTTTGATTTTTTTTCTCAGGCTAGCTTGTTGTTTGCCCTTGTCAACACCGAAATGAGACACTGCACACTCACCCCATTCAGTTGACAGTTTCAGTCCTTGTCCAGTGTGTATTCCCAAATATTTGACATCTCTGCATATCCGACATCCTAGCTTCTTATCTTTAAGAAGGAGCCATGCATTGGTCTTGCAAAAATATTGCACCTGGTCCGTTGTCCAGCAGTCAGGTGCATCGCTTTGCCCGGTGTTGGTGGTGGCAGTTGCGCCAGCAGCAGCTAACGTTAGAGGCTCTGGAGGAGGCGGCGGAGCTAGTGCTAATGCTAATGCACTAGAACTTGGAGCAGGAGGATCAACCAAAGAAAGCTCCCCATCAGACACAATTTCCAACACAGGCACAGCATTCTCTGTATTTGAAGTTTCTTCCGGCGACAACCGCTGTCTTTTTGCACTTTTATTAATCCACGCTAACATTTTAGAAATGCTAATTTGTGACGTGACTTGCTTTCCTTCTCTCGGGGGCGTGCCTGCTCTGTTCTATCACTCTACATAGCCACCCACTGGGTGGGAGTTGCACTGCATAAACACAACACACGTGCATCTAGGTATGTAAATTGTAAAGCATTAAACATAGTTTTACTAACAGTTTTCAGTATGTTGTTACTTCGGCATTATTATTATTATTATTATTTTGAAACGTGTATTACTATTAAATCACGATCAAATAGGTTAATTTTGACATAGTCGTTTCCACCACAGTATTTACATGGAGAAGATAAGCCCCGCCCCCTCTCCAGCACGTTCTGTTTGAATGACAGGAGTAAACAGCTGACAGCCGCTGTGAAACTCCAGCGGTTAGAGCGATGAGAATGTCCGTTCGGCACCTCATGACGCATCTACTGAGTACCGGGCGGCTGTATATATATATATGGATGTATAATAAGAACGGCGGGAGAGTGTTGAGTACTGGCACGGTGCATGAGTACCGGAGTACCGCCAGCATGCCGGTACTGAGCAAGAAGTGCCGGTACTCCATGGGTCAGAACCAGAAGTGCCGGTACTGCGTACCGGTGAGTACCGGCCCAATTCCAGCACTGAGTACAGGAGTGGCCAACCCGCGGCTCTCGAGCCGCATGCGGCTCTTTGCCCAGTCTCATGCCTCCTCAGTTCATATCGAAGTTTAATTGTGTGTTTTTTTTTTTTTTTAGCGCATATGTATCCCAGTTCACAAAGGGTTAACAACACACAAGTTCCAGCCCAATCGTTACACAGAGTTTTCAACAAATAAGTGCTTTAGCCAATCAGAATGCAGATCCTGCAGTACTGGAGGCGGGCTTTGTGATGTGACAGTGAAGGGAGAGATCTGCTTGCTAATGAAATATTCAGCTTTTTCTGCATTTTCAGCTAAATTCAGCAACAAATGTACACCGTTTACAGCATTCGCACACATTTTCAGCAGGAAATGCATTTCTTTCTATCATAATAAAATAGTTTTTAACCACAGCAAATGTATTATTGGTCGTTAAGCTAACTTTGTTAGTATTTCCATTTCATGGTACTTTATAATTCTACTCCACTACATTTAAAAGGGAAATAATACGATTTTACTCCACTACATTTATTTAACAGCTTCAGCTACTTTTATCAAAATGCATATCTCAAAATCAAACTATAGTGGACAAACTCTTTAAGTCACAAAAGAGTCAAATTATTCAAATAATTTACAAAAAGTCAATCAGTACTTTGTTTGGCTGCAGCAGTAAAATGCTACTTGATGCAACAATATTAGGCATGTCAGATATATAATTATGTATACACACAAAGGCAATGCACAAATATGACTCTTCTACATTCTGCAGATAATACTTTTGTACTTTTATTTAAGTAAGAATTTGATTGCAGGATTTTCCAACTCAGTCAAAGCCACTCTAGCACCCCCTAGCGGCCATGCGGCTCCTAACATATAACTCATGAAAAGAAAGAAACACCACCTGCAGTCACACATTTGATATTTTCATAAGAGCACCCCCATTTGAATAGTTTTAAACAGTAGGTAAGTAAGACATGAATGAAATGAGTCAGTCACTCATTATCTATTACATTTAGCAATTGTATGGATTAATAGTAAAAGCTTAAGAACACACACTGTGCAGGTTTAGGAGACGTGTGTGTGTGTGTGTGTATGTGTGTGTGTGTGTGTGTGTGTGTATGTGTGTGTGTGGGGGGGGTGTGTGTGTGTGTGTGTGTGTGTGGGGGGGGTGTTATCGTCCTGCACTGTTGTCCTAATCCGTTCTTAGAGGATAGAGGCTTAGTGGACCTGAGGGTAGGTGGACAACAAATACTGAGAGAGAGGAGCGTCCAGACCAACCAGCAGCTTCTCCTCATGAATAACTCTCCTCACTCCTTCCTCTGACTCCTCCATGACTGCGGGTTCTCCTCCGTGTCTGCCGGTTCTCTTCTTACAACTCCTCCCGCCAACTCTCCAGCATCCACTGAAGCAGCTAATCACTTCCACTGGGCTAATTTGGATGCCATCTTGACATCCTGTAGGCTAGAGAAGGAATAGTCGTCCGAGACCTTTGGGGTAGTGGTTTTATCCATCTATATATTAATTTATTTGTTAAAGTGTGAATTAAACACAGAGCTCTGAAGATGAAGGACCGCCTGGCCCAGCTGAAGGAGGTAGGAAGCGTTAATATGTCCGGCTGTATGATGAGCTGCAGGTCTCAGGCCTCCTGCTGTAATCAGTGTGTGTGTGTGTGTGTGTGTGTGTGTGTGTGTGTGTGTGTGTGTGTGTGTGTGTGTGTGTGTGTGTGTGTGTGTGTGTGTGTGTGTGTGTGTGTGTGTGTGTGTGTGTGTGTGTGTGTGTACTGTCGCTGTGTCTGTTATTCATGAGTTTATTTTCCACTTGTTCAATTTAGCACAAAATAATAGAAAAGCAAATGTGAAAACCGCGTTTAGAAATAATATTAAAGCAGGTTCTAGCCGAATATTTGAAACATGAAGGAAAACACAAGGTGACTCAAACTAGCACGTCTTGTAATATGTATTACTTTGATGTTTTAGAGTAAATATTCTTATAGTCCTAAAGCGTGTTGTAAGGCTGAGGATTTAAAATGAGTTTACTCTTTAGTTTGGAGCGTGCAGAAGGCAGCAGCGGGTGTGAGTGTGCCTGACGTCACAGAGGCACACTGTACACATGTGTCTGTCAAACTGCTGATTAGACGGTTTATAACGAGACAGGAAATACATCAATATTTAGAGGTGACTATGTATCAATGTATCAGGATTTTTAAAGATGTTGAATATAAGATTTTTTTGCTGCTGTACAATCAATATTTGTATTTATTCTGTGCTTCCTGGGAGTTTTCCCCTCTTCCTAATTTGTGTGTGTGTGTGTTTAACAGAAGAGTGACGCAGGAAGCGATGACGTTGAGATTCCAGTGGAGAATCAGGCTTTTATGGATGATTTCTTTGCTCAGGTATTCAATTTGTGTCTGTCTGTTGCTCACATTGCTAGAAGAGAACGTATTCTGTGCTAATGTTGTATCTCTTTCAGATAGAAGATATCCGCGCCAGCATTGACAAGATTGATGAGAGTGTCACAGAAATCAAAAAACTCTACTCCGCCATCCTGTCAGCTGCTTCATCTGAACAGAGTAACAAACACACACACACACACACACACACACACACACACACACACACACACACACACACACACACACACACACACACACACACACACACACACACACACACACGCACACACACACACTTCTTGCTGTTTGTGAACTCCCTCGCCTCTCACTCTATTTCAGAAACACAGGATGAAGTTGAAGCCGTCACCAATGGGATCAAGAAGTCGGCTAACAACGCAAGAAACAAACTGAAGAGTCAGTATTCTTTTTTTTCCTGTTCACTGATTGGATTACAATTTTTCTCGATTGCTAACACACATTTTCTTTTAAATTGCTCAGTTTCTCAGAACACTAAACATAATTCACAAAACCACAGACCCAAAGTGCAAAACTCCTCATTTCTCCTGCTAAGTGAAGAACTGCACTAAAAACTACATAAACACTTTCCAAATGCAAACTTTAGCACCAGATATAACACACTTCATTCTTAACACTAGATGGTTTGACCACCCAGCTACACACTGCTGAGCATACTCTAAAGCACTCTCATCTGTTCTGGGCTGTGCTCTGTACAGAGAGGGTTCTGCACAGAAAGATTGCTGAGTTTACAGAAATACAGTAAGTGAAGAAATACAAATGAGTTGTTGAAAGAAATCACATTTTATTCAAAACTAACATTGTGCAGCATCTCAGCACATAGCTACTCTGCTTCGGATCTCTCTAAGTGTGATGCACTGTTTGCCCAAACCCAGTTTGTAGCTGCTGCTGCCTGCCTCATTGAACATCCTTAGCCTTCCACCTCTTTGTTTCTCAGTCCTTCAGATAAACAACAAAGATATAGTGTGGGTCAGTGTCTGTGTTGCATACAAGTAACTTTACCACAGTACATTGCGCAGGATGTTTGTAGTTATAGTCTGCAACATGCCAACAATTCAATTACAGTAATGAAGTAAATACGTTTCACACAACAGATATACGCTCTGATATATCATGAGAGTATTCTTCTTTGTCCACGTCCTCTCCCTCCAGCTCTTCCTCTACCTCTCCTCTTCCTCTTGCTTCTATTGTTGCTGTAAGAAAGTTCTCACCTGTGGTCTTTTCATAGTGCTAACATCCTGATTGATGAGCCAACAATGATGCTCTCAGGTGTTTGCTCAGGTGGAACGTGTTTCTTGATCATTGTGCCATGTGTGAGGCATTTTGAATATCAGTGTTTTCAACCTGCTAACACGTGGCTTTATGTCAGACTCCTGTGTCTCACGTGGAGAGACGTGTGCAGTGGTTTGCACAAAGTGCCGTGTTGATTTGCAAATTGTGTGAAAAGCTGAAAACGTGTTTAGAGTTTTGGAGATTTGAGCCGATATTTTGCTCTTTGAGTGTCAGTTAAAATAATTGTGCTTTATGTCGAATTTTAGTGTGTTAGCAACCGAGAAAAACTGTAACTCCATTAACAGCTAGATGTCCGATGTAGAGTTGAGAAGAAAAAAGTAATTCTTTATTCGACGTGTTTGTTGAGTAAAATGCTAAACATGTCTTATATCCATAAATATTTCTGTTTTGTCTCATCTTGTGTTTACATCTGCACACTTCTGCGTATGTCTGGAAGTTATCCAATTGAAATCATCTTTTTGCAATTGTGCCATTGTCCTGTGTGTGTGTGTGTGTGTGTGTGTGTGTGTGTGTGTGTGTGTGTGTGTGTGTGTGTGTGTGTGTGTGTGTGTGTGTGGTGTGTGTGTGTGTGTGTGTGTGTGTGTGTGTGTGTGTGTGTGTGTGTGTGTGTGTGTGTGTGTGGGGGGGGGGGGGTGTTGTGTGTGTGTGTGTGTTGTGGTGTGTATGTGTGTGTATCAGGTATTGAGGGCCAGCTTGAGAAAGCAGATGAAAAAGCCTCAGCTGACGTCAGGATACGCAAATCACAGGTCAGACTTTATAAGATATAACTATTTAATTAAGTTTACTTATCAAAATTCTACCTTTTAAAGAGCTGGAGCTCACATGAAATGTTTGGGTTTACATATTTATTGATTCTGGAAGTTCTCAGCCCCCAACCTTCCTGTAGAAGCTGACACAGAGACCTGGGGCCTGTACTACGAAGCTGGATCAACCTAACCTGGATATGTTTGAGTTAGCCGGTTGGCCTAATCCAAAACATACGCGCTCTCGCTAAACGGTACTACGACGCTGGTTATCAACTCGTTAACTCAAGCCAGTCATTTCCTATCTAGTTAGGTGCGCGTTCACATGAGAGGGGTGGTATCTGGAGCATTCGACCAATCACAAACATGGAAAAGCGCACTGACAGCGCAGCGTCATACTTCCTGAATGAAAAGTCAACTATAATATTAGACATATGAAGAAGTTAAACTTTAAACATCCATGACTTAAACACTTGATCCAGGATCAAAGCCACAGAGCTGCACCTGCAAGGTGAATACAGCTGGTAACAGAACAAGTGTTTGAATGCGTTCATTAACAGGTTTATGATATCACTGCCCGTCTAAAACACGAGTGGATCTGACTTTAATTACATTTGTCTCGAGTGTTTCGTCAACTTAATGTGTTGCTTAAAATAATACTTCTGCATACAGTATGTGACACTGTGAGTGTTGCACGGCCAGATACGGCTCAGCTGACTCAGATAAGGAGATTTATGATGTGATATGAAGTGATATGCCGCGGACTATACTGTTACTTTGATCCGGTTACTTATGTTGTGGCAGATATTTAAGTAAGCTTTCTTAACGCTAATGTTATAATAGTCAGATTGCTCTGAAGATGGAGGTGATATTCTATTCATGTTCACGTTCACACAGTCGGTGATTTTTGCCGGCCGTCTTTCCTGCGACGACAGCTTTTCTGTATTTCCTTTCTCCTGTAATGTGACTTGATCGCTTTAAACTCCGCACACTGAGCTCTGATTGGTCAGCAGGCGGTGCTTTCACTGAGTTGAGCTCTTAGCCTGCAACCTAACCTGGGGGGTATACTACGAAGCAGGATTTTCGTTTAGCAAGATAACTTCTGGGATTTCCGGTACTACGAAGCTGGTTCACTTTTTAGCGGGCTAGATCTCCATGGTGATTTATCCTGGAACCTAGTCTGTGCTCCGAAGCAGGATAGGTTCCAGAATAAGAGATCAACTCATCAAAAGCACCACGCCTGCTGACCAATCAGAGCTCAGTGTGCGGAGGAAATACAGGAAAGACGGCCGGCCAAAATCACCGACTGTGTGAACGTGAAAATGAATAGAATATCACCTCCCATCTTCAGAGCAATCTGACTATTATAACATTAGCGTTAAGAAAGCTTACTTAAATATCTGCCACAACATAAGTAACCGGATCAAAGTAACATTACGTAGCCTACAGTCCGCGGCACTGTGAGTGCAGACGTCAATGTGTCCCATTATCATTCATATCACATCATAATGCATCACATATCTCCTGATCTGAGTCAGCTGAGCCGTATCTGGCCGTGCAACACTCACAGTGTCACATACTGTATGCAGAAGTATTATTTTAAGCAACACATTAAGTTGAGGAAACACTCGAGTCAAATGTAATTAAAGTCAGATGGTGTCTTAGACGGGGCAGTGATATCATAAACCTGTTAATGTACGCATTCAAACACTTGTTCTGTTACCAGCTGTATTCACCTTGCAGGTGCAGCTCTGTGGCTTTGATCCTGGATAAAGTGTTTAAGTCATGGATGTTTAAAGTTTAACTTCTTCATATTTGACTAATATTATAGTTGACTTTTCATTCAGGAAGTATGACGCTGCGCTGTCAGTATGCTTCTCCATGTTTGTGATTGGTCGAATGCTCCAGATACCACCCCTTTTATGTGAACGCGCACCTAACTAGATAGGACACGGCTGGCTTGAGTGAACGAGTTGATAGCCAGCGTTGTAGGACAGTTTAGCGAGAACGTCTTTGTTTTGGATTAAGTCAACCGGCTAACTCAAAACGTATCCAGGATAGGTTGAACTAGATTCGTAGTATACCCCCCTGGTCCCGACCAGGTTAGCCGCTAAGCATAAGTTACCATGGAGATCTAGCCTGCTAAATGGAGAACCAGCTTCGTAGGACCGGAAAGCCGGAGTTTCCCCTGAATTTAGCCGGCTAAGCAAAAATCCTGCTTCGTAGTATACCCCCCTGGTCTTTACCTCTGTTACTTTGCACTGAATAAAAGGCCCATTGAAATCATTGTATGAAGCTGAAAACATAAACATGGACACAATTATGTGTTATGTCACTTCCATTACATATTTACTCCCCTTTTAAAGTCATTTAACAAGGCATTTGCATTCTCTGTTCCCAGCATGCCATCCTGGCCAAGAAGTTTGTTGAGGTGATGACCCGATACAACGAGGCTCAGATGGACTTCAGAGATAAGAGCAAAGGACGGATCGCCCGGCAGCTGGAGATCAGTGAGTTACAGTCATGATATCAAGACTTCCTCCTCCGAGTCAGGCCAAAATACATTACTTTAATTGTTTTGAATATGCCTTTCATGAATCTATCAATCACTTTTTACATTACATGCACACATTCAGATTTCATAAGTTCACCATGTGTCACAGTCATTCAGTGTCACATAATTATGTTATTGCTCCTTTATACAGGACTTGGCCTTCTGGTTACTTTCCTGAATTACAGTTATTTTTTTCAAGCATAATGACATTATGTGAGGTATATTGTGTATCTTATGTCTTATATATTACCATATGCTTATTCAAATCATTGCAGCTTGTTCTCAGTTAGTAAAGTATTAAATCTGCTTTGAAGATGAAAATGACAGCCACTAACCACTTCTTACACAACATAGTTTGGAACAAGAGCGTTAACAACTTGTAGGACAGTTGTGAAAAATGGTGAAGCTGTGACCTGTTATAGTCAGGTCTGAATATGACTCTTAAATTGATCAATCATCGAGACTCAAATGAGCTGGAGTTCAGTAAATCCATTTACACTAAGACTTCACTGCTAATTACGTGGTCCAATATTTTATTGCGTACCTTGGAGGTGAAGTGCAGGCATATTGTCATTCAAGAGAGAATACGATGCGTAGTTCTTTTGGAAAACATGTTTTTCTTTTAGCCTATTTACCTCGTTAACGTAAATAATACTCATTACATTAAAATTCATTATTTGTGATTAAAATAATGGTTGTTGGTAATGTATTAGCGACCCCCACAGATGTATGATTTCACTGCTTTCATAGGTGCCCTCCTTATGGGAGCTCAGCTCCCATTGGTTCCCACATAACTCCAACCTTGTATGGACCCCTTACAATGGTACTGTCAGCAGTAGGGGTTCACTGATCACTGTTCATGTCAGTATTATAGTATAATATTATTATTATTATCATAGTAGTATCATTAGGACTCAGATTATATGAGTGTTACAGACACTAAAGCCCCGCCATGGATTTGGCACCAAGAATAAACCGTTTTATTTGACCTGTCAGTGTCATTGTTTGTTTCAAGCATTGTCAGGAACACAGCAATTTGACAGTGTGGGGGAGTTCCTGAGCTTTCCATGACTCTGAAGTCTTACCAAAAAAAAGATTTTCTTGATGATATGGCAGAAATATGTATATGTTCATCTGGCACGCATGCTCTTCACAACATCTCTTGTGAAACAGAAAGTCCACATGGTACCCTTACTATCAGTCCACTTTAAACATGATGTGTTTAGTGTTGATTGTATATTTCATCTGATTATTCAGAGCATGGGGGTAGGAAGCATCCTGAATGTGGGGGGGACATTTTTAACGGGGGGTTTGGGGATCCCCCCCCACGAAAAGAAAAATAGATTTCCTGTATTCTGGTGCATTTTAACAGGTGGTTTGATACTTCTTTGTGGCTATACTAGCATGAGGAAAATGATGGGTACATTTTGTAATTTCATCCAGTAGTAAATAAAGGAAACATATTTGATTATTAATTCAGAGCCGTCTTTGAATTAATAAAAAGCAGTTTAAATGCCCATTTTTTGTACATTTATATACAACAATAAATATTTGTGAGTGCATTGAGAGATATTGTTGTGGAGAGTCATTTATATATAAATCGCAAAATACATTTGTGAATCCTTCTGTGAGCATTTATTAATATTGAGACTGATCTGACTCCATACAGATTAAGTTAAATTCACCTAGGAATGGTATCATTGACTTAAATGTTCAAATAAATGTTGCTCTTCTGTCTATATTGGTCATATGATGCCCCTTGACTGAAATGCTTCCTGTTCAATATCCCCACTGATTTCCTTAACATTCTGGGATGAGAGTCCACATCACAATTGACTCTAAACTGTCATTTCCCTTTCATCACTCACCTCAGCAACGGACCTCTCTCCACTGTCCCTGTGTTCTGCCTCTGACTCACTCTCACGCGCCTAGATGTCAAGAGAGGTGGTGAAGTGATCATTATTTACTGAGCCGTATACTCTTTCACATTGAATCATAACAAGTCATACTGAATGTAAATACAACTGACTCTAAAATAAGTCTTGGACATTTTGAAGACTCAAAGCCCCAAGCAGTAGGTAGAATATTAGCTAGTCTATGTAATGTGCACAGAAAATAAATAGTTAACTGAATACTGGGATGGAAATTGCCTATAAGCACTCAGTAAAACATAAACACACACAAAAAGCTTCTGAATGATAAGAAGTATAATTAAAACATAATGCACATTACCATTTTGAGAGAGAGTACCGAAGTTAAAGAACTCAGAAAATAATCTCTTATCGAACTGAGGCCCCAGTAAAACACACTGACTGCGTCTCTACATGGACATTATGGTGTTTACATGAGCACAGAGAGATCGGGTTATTCATGTTCCCTGTTTACATGATAAATACTAGCAACCTGGCATTTCGATGCCTTTTCTCATCTAAACGATTCAGTATTTGTATCTCTCTATCATGACATAAAGACGAAACTCCTCTCCAGAAGTGAGACGCTTTTGCCGCCGCCGCCATCACTGTTAACTGATTAACTGCTACCAGCTGAAGACTTACTTTCCTATTCTTTGAAACAAATGTTCTTATGTCCATGTTGTCTGGGGGAGAAAACATATCAAACCAAGAGATCGTCAGCTTTGGTTTTCGCTGTATTAACAATGTCCTGAACACTTGGTGTGTGTGCCTTACCTCCACTACCGGCATCGCTTCATACAACAGATCTGAGCTGTCCAACTACGGCAACACTCCTTGAACATGTGCGCTATGGGAGAATCTGCCTTGGTACAAAGTAGCAGGGAAAACATGGTACGGCGTTTCATTGATTTGGGCATTCTCTCAATAAGCAAGTGGAATGGATTTGATAGTGAAGCACTGACACAGCGCTCTACAAAGTGCGGCGAGTGGAGAGACCGATTCACGGACTTTCCACATGGTAGAAGTGGGGGGGTCTAAACTAATCATTTCAAAAAGTGGGGGGGACTTGTCCCACCCTCATATAATGGCTGCGACGCCCATGATTCAGAGGCATGTTGGCCTCAGTGTAACCCCTAGATTCCACCGGGTCCGTCTGCGTCGCGTTACGGCTGCGCCGCGGTTTTGGTCCGGCCTCCTCCGGCGTCATACCCTACCGGGCGCGTTTCAGAAGCATTTCAGAAGCGGAGCGTCTTGCCTGTCGGCTCGCAGTTTTTGTTGATTTGGGCATATTTCCTGGACAGGCTACTTTGTACAGACAAAGTTAATAATAATTGTAATAGTCCAGTTATAAACGACATGAATCAAAGATGTGTTGCTGTATTTTAGTGGTAAAGAAATGCATTCCTCATCATAATTATTCTAAATATTGTGGTGATTGACATTATTCACCCACGGATCTATGGGTTGGGGTATTGTTCCGCACGGACATTTGAGTGAGCCGGACTTCCTGTTTCCGCCGGTCTTCGCTTCCCGGGCATGAAGTTGTTTACATGTGTGTTCAGATGCTAAATAAAAGTAGAGCTTGTAACTTTGATACCCCGCCTCCGACTCCCGTCTCTCGGCACTACATTGGTGACCCCGACATAAGTCTTGTTGAAGGATCCGAGACTGAACCGAGCATGGCAAGTAACGCCGTTTTTTTCAAACTGCCGGAGTTTTGGGAGACATCTGCAGCTGCATGGTTCGCTCAGGCGGAGGCTCAGTTCGCCCTCCGCGGAGTGACTGACGACGCAGCACGCTATTTTCACGTCGTTTCGGCGCTGGGGAGCTCCACTGCGACCCGGACGGTGGGCTTTATTACATCTCCTCCTGCCCAGGATAAATATGCAGCGTTCAAGACTTTCCTGCTAAAGACTTTCGAGCTGTCACGGTCGGAACGGGCCCGACGCCTGCTCGCTATTCATAGCCTGGGGGACAACAAGCCTTCTGACCACATGGAGATGATGCTCAGCCTGCTGGGTACGGAAGAACCTAATTTTTTGTTCATAGAACTGTTTCTTCGGCACATGCCGCCGCATGTACAGACAGCGCTCGCTAACACGGCTATTACTGAGCCCCGCGCTTTGGCCGAAGAAGCTGACCGGTTCTTCCTGGCAACCCAGCGTTTTGCCCCGGAGGTGCTGGCCCCGACACGCAGCGGCACCTTCCCTGGTACAGGCATGCCACCTAGCAGAAGCTCCGGGGCCGACGTCAGCAACTCCAGCCCTGGCCTGTGCTATTATCATGCACGCTATGGGGCGAAAGCGAAGATGTGCCGTCCTTCCTGCACCTACAAGGTAACGGGAAACGCCAAGGCCTGCGCTCGCGCGAGCGTGGGCACATCCAACCGGCTCCTGTTCATCAGGGACACCCTCTCTGGTCGCAGACTCCTTTGTGACACAGGAGCCCAGCGAAGCGTCCTGCCGGCTACCGTGGAGGACGCTGCCGGTGGAGGCCACGGCCCACCTTTAACGTCCGCTAACGACACCCCTATTCGCACCTATGGCACAAAGACAGTGGACCTGTGCTTCGAGGGTCAGCGGTTTAAGTGGGATTTCGTCACGGCTGACATCTCCTTCGCTCTCCTCGGCGCAGACTTCCTGTGCGCTCACGGACTGCTGGTGGACGTCAAGAACAGCCGCCTGGTGGACGCACTGATGTTTGCCTCGTTCACGTGTACCCGCGGCGAGGCGTCATTCAGCGGGCTCTCCAGCTCACTCTCACAGGGCGACAAGTTCCAGCACCTTCTCAGTGAGTTTGCCGACTTGACGCAGCCCACCTTTTCCGCTGCCACTACCAAACATGGGGTAGAGCACCACATTGACACTGAAGGCCCCCCTGTCTACGCTAGGGCCCGGCGGCTCAACCCTGACATGCTGGCAGTCGCCAAGTCAGAGTTCGTCAACATGGAGCGTCTGGGCATCATCCGCCGCTCAGACAGCCCTTGGGCTTCGCCGCTTCACATGGTCCCTAAATCAGCCGGTGGCTGGCGACCGTGTGGTGACTACCGCCGCCTTAACTACGCCACTACGCCAGACCGCTACCCGGTCCCTCACATCCAGGACTTCTCTGCACACCTGGCGGGCAAGCTGGTTTTCTCCAAGGTGGATCTGGTGCGGGGCTACCACCAGGTTCCGGTGCACCCCTCGGACGTCCCCAAAACTGCAGTAATTACGCCGTTTGGGCTTTTCGAGTTCCTGCGTATGCCGTTTGGACTTAAGAACGCAGCTCAGTCCTTTCAGCGGCTGATGGATTCAGCGCTCAGAGACATGCCATTCATCTTCGTCTATTTAGACGACATCCTGGTCGCCAGCTCCTCCTCCGAAGAGCACCAGGCACATCTCTGGATCCTTTTCGCGAGGCTCAACCAACACGGCCTGATTATCAACCCGGCGAAGTGTCAGTTCGGGTTGTCCTCCATCCATTTCCTCGGGCACCTCATCAGCAAGGACGGGGCCGCCCCCCTCCCGTCGAAAGTGGAGGCCGTGTCTGCCTTTCCACGACCGCCTACAGCTCGGGTGCTCCGAGAGTTCCTCGGGATGGTGACGTTTTATCACCGGTTCATCCGCCGGGCGGCCCACACCATGCGCCCGCTGTACGAGGCCCTCAGGGACAAATCCCCCGGCCAGGCCATAGACTGGACGGCTGAAAGGGAGGTCGCTTTCAACGCCACCAAAGCCGCCCTGAGCGAAGCCGCCATGTTGGCTCACCCGTCACACAGGGCCCCCATCGCTATCACCACCGACGCGTCTGACTACGCAGTGGGCGCGGTGCATGAACAATGGGTCGACGGCGCCTGGCAACCGCTCGCCTTTTTCAGTCGCCAGTTGACTCCCAGGGAGCGCAAGTACAGCGCTTTCGACAGAGAACTCCTTGGTCTCTATTTGGCGGTTCGCCACTTCCGTTTCCTGCTGGAAGGCCGGGAGTTTGCGGCGTTCGTGGATCACAAGCCACTGACCTTCTGCATGTCCAAGGTGGCTGAGCCGTGGTCCGCCCGACAGCAACGCCAGCTTTCGTACATCTCCGAGTACACCATGGACATACGACACATCGCTGGCAAGGCTAACGTGGTCGCGGACTGCCTCTCCAGAGCGGTCATCGGAGCTGTGCAGCTGGGCCTCGATTACCTCCGCATGGGCGCTGACCAGGCCTCTGACCACGGGGTCCAGACCCTCAAGGCCTCGGTCACGGGATTACGCCTGGAGGAGGTCACGGTCGGTGACTCTGGCGCAAAGCTGTGGTGTGACGTCTCCACGGGCCAGCCTCGACCGCTGGTCCCTGCGGACTGGCGTCGACCCGTTTTTGAGGCGGTTCACAATCTTTCCCACCCCGGTAGGAAGCCGCCCGTGAAGTTGTTGTCACAGAAGTTCGTGTGGCAGGGGCTTAAGAAGGACGTGAGGTCCTGGGTCGACTCGTGCGTGGCCTGTCAACGGGCCAAAGTCCACCGCCATACTAGGGCTCCTTTTGAACTTTTTGCGGTTCCTGAGAGGAGGTTTGACCATGTCAATGTTGACCTCGTAGGTCCGCTTCCCCCCTCTCACGGTTTCACTTACCTGTTTACGATGGTGGACAGGACGACCCGCTGGCCCGAGGCCGTTCCCCTCGCCTCAACATCAGCTTCCGACGTCGCCCGCGCTTTCATCGGCACGTGGGTGGCGCGATTCGGGACCCCGTCTGACCTCTCCTCTGACCGCGGTTCTCAGTTCACCTCGGAGCTGTGGAACGCTGTTGCTGTGGGTTTGGGGGTCAAGCTGCACCGCACCACTGCATATCACCCCCAGGCTAACGGATTGTGTGAGCGGTTTCACCGGTCCATGAAGGCGTCACTGCGTGCCGGCTTGATAGACGGCAACTGGGTGGATAAGCTCCCGTGGGTTATGCTCGGCCTCAGGTGTGCCCCCAAAGAAGACCTGCAGTCCTCGTCGGCGGAGCTCGTCTATGGTCAGACGCTACGGGTCCCTGGAGAATTCATTCCCACCGCCACTGTGCCCTGGTCTGCAGCCGGGCAGCGCTCCTCCCTGCTGGAGACCGCCGGGACATTCACGCCCGTCCCCACGTCGCAGCACAGCAACCCATCTTTCCGGGTGTCCCCCGGATTACGGTCGGCCGATTTCGTTTTTATTCGCCACGACGCCCACCGCGGTCCCCTGCGGCCCCCTTACGACGGTCCGTTCAGGGTCATACGTCACAGGGACAAGAGCCTGGTGGTGGACGTTGGTGGCAGGCCTGAGACTGTGTCCGTTGATCGGATTTAGCCTGCTCACGTGGACATTTCCAGGCCGTTGTAGTTGGCCCTGCCCCCACGTCGGGGCCGCCCTCCCATGGCCCGCCCCCCGCCCCCTGTGGGGATGCCCTCGTTGGCGCCCCTGCCCTCGCCTGTGGCCCCGCCCGCCTCGGCCCCTGTGGTCCGTACGCGCCGGGGTCGGGTGGTACTTCCTCCCAGGCACGAGGATTTTGACTATGGGTGAATACTGGGGGGGCTTGTGTGGTGATTGACATTATTCACCCACGGATCTATGGGTTGGGGTATTGTTCCGCACGGACATTTGAGTGAGCCGGACTTCCTGTTTCCGCCGGTCTTCGCTTCCCGGGCATGAAGTTGTTTACATGTGTGTTCAGATGCTAAATAAAAGTAGAGCTTGTAACTTTGATACCCCGCCTCCGACTCCCGTCTCTCGGCACTACAATATATAATTTACACAGTGCCTGTAAACCGGAGGAGAACGCTGGCATTTATTTTGGGGATTGACTGGATGCTCTGACCGGTCCACTTCCTGTCCGGCGCCTCTGCATCGCCTCGCGTCGAAAAATAGACTTGAATTCTATTTTGAGCGGAGTCCAGCGCCGAGACGCTTCATGGACGCTTCTGAGCCGTAACGCGGTGCGTCTGGTGGAATAGCACCCATTAGCCACGTTCACATCGCGTACTTTGCAGTACTTAGTGTCGGCACTTAGTGCCCCGGCACTTATTAACCCAAGGCACTCAGTACCAATCGCGTTCACACCGGAGTACTTTTCCCTGAGGGAAGATTACGCAAATTAGCCGCTGACGTCACTTCGTCTTCTTCTGCTTTGGGTTTACTGGCAGGCTGCAAACAACTTCACGGCGTATACTGCCACCCGGAGTCCCCGGCCGGAAGTCCCCGGAGTTGGGGACTGGCTTCAGTAGAAGCTGCTGGCACTCCCAGCAGCTTCCACTGAAGCCTTCCGAGTAAATCACCAGAACGCCGACACCTCCTCATCTCCACCGCTCCAAAACTTTTTGGGAGTTTGACGGGGCGTGGTTTGCAATCCGCCCAGCCAATCAGACATAGAAACCTTTTTCTCCCACAAAAGTCCCTGCTCTCTAGCAGGGACTGAAAAGGGGGTGAAAAGGTTCTCATTAACTCATTTTAGTTCCGGCTCTTTTTGGTGTGAACGCAACATTTCGGAACTATATCGGAACTAAAGTGGGAAAAGTACTGCGGTGTGAACGCGCCTATTGCCACAAATACAATGGCGGCTTCACAAAACTTTTCAGAGTTTTACGGGGCGTGGTTTGCAATTCGCCCAGCCAATCAGAACTGGGGCCCTTTTTCCCCCAGGATAGTATCACTTTTCTAGCAGGGACTGAAAATGGGGGTAAAAGTTCCCGGCACTAAGTACTCTTTTTGGTGTGAACGCAAAACATAAGGGGAAAAATACGGGGAAAAGTAGAGTGGCTATTGACTAGAGTGGCCGCGATTGTTGCGAACGCACAGCAGCCGTAACACGGCCGTAACACGGCCGTAACACGACGCAGACAGTTGAGCAATGTTCAACTTTTGAAGCTTCGACGGAAGCGTCAGCCAATCAAATCATATGGTTAGGGTAATGTTGTGAATCGGGTGGCCTGTGTTCATCGTCCATAACATACGCCTGCCCATACCATAACCCCACCACCACCATGGGCCACTCGATTCACAACATTACCCTAACCCTACCCCTACCCCTCACACCAGATACTGACTGATTTTCAGACCCCCCCGGACCCCCACAATAAAGCAAAAATGCACGTTTCAGAGTGGCCTTTTATTGTGGCCAGCCTAAGGCACACCTGTGCAATAATCATGCTGTCTAATCAGCATCTTGATATGCCACACCTGTGAGGTGGGATGGATTATCTCGGCAAAGGAGAAGTGCTCACTATCACAGATTTTTTCAGATTTGTGAACAATATTTGAGAGAAATGGTTATTTTGTGTATATAGAAAATGTTTTAGATCTTTGAGTTCATCTCATGAAAAATGGGAGCAAAAACAAAAGTGTTGCATTTATATTTTTGTTCAGTGTAGTTGCAGCTGCAAGGTGAATACAGAACAGCTGGTTAAAAAATAAATAAACTACCAAGTGTTTGAATGTGTAGGCTACATTAACAGGTTTATGATATCACTGTCTCATCTAAGACACGAGTGATCTGACTTAATAATTAACATAATTACATTTGAGTTGAGTGTTTCGTCAACTTAATGTGTTGCTTAAAAATACTTCTGCATACAGTAGGCTATGTGACACTGTGAGTGTTGCACGGCCAGATACGGCTGGAGAAGCTGACTCAGATAAGGAAATATATGATATATTATGATATTATATGATCGATGATCTGATTGATGATGTGATATGAATGATAAGTGCGACACGTCGGCGTCTTTCCTGCATACGGCTGTTTTTCTGTATTTCCTTTATCCTGTAATATGACTTGATAGATTTAAATGTGCACACTGAGCTCTGATTGGTCAGCAGGCGGTGCTTTCACTGAGAGTTGATCTCGGTTGATATCTTATCTATTGACGCCGGAGGCGGGCAGCGTCAGGTAACAAAAGTTATTTAGCCTTCCCAAACCTGAGCCTCACGCGCCGCCTATGCTCGTCCTGGTGTATTGCTGTCAGGTGTTAACAGGTTTGTGTGTGAAACACTTGTTCAACTGTCTTCCTGTTAATCACAGCGGGGACAGCAACGACTGACGAAGAACTGGAGGCCATGCTGGAGGGAGGAAACTCGGCTGTGTTCAGTGCCGGGGTGAGACAGTCTGTGTGTCTCAATATGTTGAACATGCACACACACAGTTCAAATAACACACTCACAGCTAAGTCACTCTATTAATGTATCGTCAATCAACAATGAATTAAGATTCTCCAAGATCATACCTCAGTCCGTTATTTCATGTAAAAAATGGTATTTTACATTAGTAGGTATGTTACAAAGTGCCATGTTACAGAAGCATGGACATTGCCTTAGTGCTTATACCATGGTATTTTTTAATAGTACCATAACATGGCACCTGGCTATATTTGACAGCACCATGGTGCATGTTCCATATTGCATACTATACTGGTTACTATGGTATACAGAACCAAAGTATAATGTACTGTACCGTGGTGTGGTGTGAACTACGGTACTGTCAACAGGTAGCATGCTACTTGTACCATAATTCTACAGTGTACTTGCAGATGGCGAAATGTAGATTATTTATTAAAGAAAGTGATAAAATGTATTTTGTTGCGTACAAAATATATTAATTAATATTATTTTCAGGCCGTGATCCCCCCTCCCCTATTGCTGCAATAAAACCTTCTTGCAATAAAAAAGTATTTATCTTTTAATGTGTTTTCACTCCTCTGCTGACATTATTGTATCTGTCTGTGTGACCCCCCCCCCCCCCAGATCATGGAATCTAAGATCACCCAGCAAGCCCTGAATGAAATTGAGGCCCGTCACAAAGACATCATGAGGCTGGAGAGCAGCATCAAGGAGCTCCATGACATGTTTGTGGATATTGCCATGCTGGTGGAGAATCAGGTATAAACGCACACACGCAGCAATCACTTATGTGTTGCCTTTCACCAAACTACTTAATATTCTTCATTGATCATATGATTTCTAAAAACCAGCTTGATTCACAATAATAAACCAATGTGATGGAAGACTGGACTGTAGGCTATACCAGTGTAACTAACCAGAGGGTGTCCAGTGAGACAAATGGTAATAAGGTAGAAACAGATCACTTCTGACCTTATGTTATGAACAAAATGATAGATCTACTTGTTCATATACTGTACAAGCAACATTGCTACCAAAAGCAGTTTTGCTAACGTACTAACTGTTGCCACTTCTGATTGGAGAAATGTGTTTAAGAGTATGAGGAAAATGTAATATGGAGGCAGGTTTTGTTTCATATTGGTGTATCTGAGTAGAAAGAGTGTTTTTAAAGTAAAGAGTTAAAGTAAAGATGTCATATATTGTTTGTCACTGTTGTACATTAAAGTCTCTCATGTTCTTCCAGCTGTCAGTCGCTGTGTTAGATGATATAACTGATCAGATATTTGAAGGAACGCAGGAAAAGCTGAAGATGTCCACCTTCACAGCATGCTCACTTAAGTTACCATCTCGCTTCTGAAAAAAAGAAAAATTGACAAAGAATTATGTCTCATTATCCTGCCCTTCTCTAGGGGGGTATGATTGACAGAATTGAGAGCAACATGGACCAGTCGGTGGGCTTTGTAGAGAGGGCAGTGGCCGATACCAAAAAGGCAGCCAAATTCCAGCAGGAGGCCCGCAGGGTAAGTTGAGACTGATGGAGCAGTCACATGGCTTTACTGGCCTGATGAAACATTGTCTGTTTACTTCACTGTTGACTTTTCATTTCTTTGAATTTTTGTTCCTACATGACATAAATGCATTTACTGAGCAATGCACAACATCTTCTTTTCCTTCTCTGTTTACTTTTCTCCAGAAACAAATGATGATCTTCTGCTGCTGTGTGATTCTGGCCTTGATACTCGGTTCATTTGTCTACAGCTTCTTCAAATAGTAATGCTGAATGAGCCCCCCAGCGGGGTCCCACAGTGCGGGACGAGGCAGAGCAAAGTAGAGCCCGGGCTCAGTTTCGTCATTTCACTCCTTCAAATTAGAAATAGAGTTTGAAAATCTTTGCATTCCTTCTCCGTTATTTCTGATATGTTATTACAACTTTTTCAACATTCTTAGGGAGTTCCACATTTAAATTCAGTTTTAATGTCAGATCTTGTTGAACTAAATATTAGAGACACCTTTCAATGCCTGCAATGCGCTGCATCTAATACAGCACCAAGACTAAATGACCTTTAGTTCCAACAAAAAGCTTTAAAGGCTTGATGAAAGGGAAATGTGTTGCTTAACTCTAACCAATGCAGTGTAAATCCCTGTTCCTTATAAAATGTAAGAACTACAGGTTCAATCCACGAGCAGAAAATATGTTTTTCATCTTTGGCCCTGCCGACAGTATCTCTATAAATATGTATGGTATTAGGTACAGGATTTGTCAGTCAATGCTAGTGTATCTGTAGGACTTTTTAGGAGTGATGAGTAAGATCAGCTTTAATTTATATATTTATCCACTCTTAACATAGTAAAAGTATTGGTTTTTTTCTGTATGGTGATCCTAAATATGTCTTCCTTCCGAAGATTATTTAAAAGCTGTCAAACCTGGATTCCTTTTTAGGTGGGCTTTAAGAGCCCCATTAACTACTATCTCTGTTCATTTAAATACTTCAAGTAACAGACAATGAACAGTGTCAGGATCTGCTTTCATAAATACATTGAAACAGTGACTAACTAATGAGAAGTAATGTTATCATATACAACAACAACAAACTGAAAAGGATGTATTGGTGAAAAAGGACTGCAGGCAGTGGCTGTTAACAGGGGATGAAGTGAAAGTGAACCGATCACACAGATGTCCCTGTAGCACTACCCGTATTTGAGTTTGAAACTGATTAAAACTAGACGCGATGGTAGGAATAGGACTACATTCTGAAGGTGTTGGTGAAGAAATGGAATAAACCCAGCCCTGCTCTATTACACTGCCTGTAATGTACTGTTTTACCTCTTTGTGTCTTTGTTGTAGGTGTATATATTACACAAATTGCTTTTATTTCTACGTGTTTGTGTTACCCCCCTTCTTATTTTTTTAAAGAATATGCTTGTATTTCCAATCTTTTTTCATGCCATGGTTTGACTCTTGTTTGATTTTTGCGTCCTCCCTCTTTGCTCTACATCCACATATGCAGGTACACTAAAGTACACTAATGTTAGCCTACTCTTAATCCATATTTTATTTGTAACATTTGAAACTAGGTTTGGTCAGTGAAAAAGAACATTCAACCATTTGGATTTTTGGAAATGGAACATTCTTCTTTCATTTCATTTCAAACCTTTATTTATGCAGGTGAATCCCATTGAGATCATTGATCTCTTTTTCAAGGGAGACCTGAAACAGGTCTGAAACACCAGTCTGTTTCTTCTTATTACAGACACATGCATTTCCTAACATTCGGTCTATATGCTGTAAAATGTATTATCTCTTCAATTTACACACGGCATCTATTGCACGTCTGTCCGTCCTGGGAGAGGGATCCCTCCTCTGTTGCTCTCCCTGAGGTTTCTCCCATGTTCCCTTTAAACTGTGGGTTTTCTCTGGAAGTGTTTCCTTGTACGATGTGAGGGTCTAAGGATAGAGGGTGTCGTTTTTCTCATACTGATATTCTGAACAATCTGTGCTGTTGTATTTGCTGTAAAGTGTCTCTACTGTAGGCTATTTTTATTATATGTACAGCACTTTGGCTCGACCAAAAATCGTTTATAAATGTGCTATAAATAAAACTTGATTTGATTTGATTTGATTTAAGAAACAGACTGGTGTTTTCTTGTGTCAAGTTAGAACAGAGGCCTGTACTACGAATCCAGTTCATCATACCCTGGATATGTTTGAGTTACCCGGTTTACCTAATCCAAAACAAACGCGCTCTCGCTAAGCGGTCCTACGACGCTGGTTATCAACTCGATAACTCGAATGGGGCGGGGTTAGCAACATTTGACCAATCACAAACATGAAGAAGCGTACTGACAGTGCAGCGTCATACTTCCTGAATGAAAAGTGAACTATAATATTGGACAAATATGAAGAAGTTAAACTTTAAACATCCATGACTTAAACACTTTATCCAGGATAAATATATGGAATGCCATTTGAGCCAAAATTAAATAAATACATAAAGAATTAAATAAATAAATACATATATATATATATATATATATAAATATGCATATGAAATACATTCTGAAATAAGGCAATAAATATGTATACATGTACATTTAAATACACATTTATTTATTTCATGGGACTTTTATTTCATAATGACATATTTATTTATTTCAGGGGACTTGTATTTCATAATGACACATTTCTGCAAATGAACGGGGCGTGGTTAGCTCACAGATCCAGACCAAAGCAACAGCACCACAACACTGACTCAATAGCTCTTGTTTCACACTCCAGTACTCTTAAGTAGTTTGCAAACTGCCAATAAACCAAACCGGTTTCAAGAACCTTTCTGGTGCTTTTCTGGTGCTTTTCCACCAAACCGGTTCCAGAGCCAGTTCCGGGCTAGCCTGATTTCGCTCTGGTTCTTCCTGTTTCAGCCGCAGCGGAGCCGGCTCTAAACACCGAAAACCAGTTCTTAGCTGACCCCACTTAACTGCCCGGCAAGAACCAAGAAGCAAGTAGAAGTTTTGTTTTGTATTAGCTATCGGATGGAATCAATACATGGGCTGCACAGGTTGTCATGTCGGACTATCACAAGTAGAATCATAATGAAAAGGTAAAATGTGCCTGTGGAAAACGGCTTATGCCACAATAGGATAGCAACAAGTAGTCAAGATAGTCAGTTTAGCTTCGGTTGCTGTTGCACAACTGTGGTCAACTCAGCCGTCTCTCGCGTTTGCTTGGTCAAATCAGCAGCTATTCATTTTTGAGTGCGCAATTAATTAAAGTTTTGTTTTGTATTATAGCAGCTATCGGATGGAATCAATACATGGGCTGCACAGGTTGTCATGTCCGACAATCACAAGTAGAATCATAATGAAAAATACGCCAGTAAAATGTGCCTGTAGAAAACGGCTTATGCCACAATAGGATAGCAACAACAAGTAGTCAAGATAGTCAGTTTAGCTTTGGTTGCTATGCTAACATCACCCATTTTATACCAGAGAAACTTTCATATCAGCGTTGTGATGCCAAACAGCGTCAATTCAGACTGACACACATTCACTTAAGGGGAACTGGGGATATGTGTCAGCTGCTTGTGTGACAGTCAGACAGTGAATACTTTAGAGCGGCCGCTGCAGTGTGAGCTAACCCGGAGCTAACGGGAGAATAAACTCCCGTGGAAGAGCAGCACTGCAGCGGTCGGTAAATGCCGTAGTAACACATTAATAAACAATGAACCACGGCACTCTGGAGAAAAGTATAAGGTTGGAGAAGTCGTTATTTAATTTAATTTAATTTAATCGACCCGACGCAGTTCCCCGTTGTTGTTGTTGTTGTTGTTGTTGTTGTTGTTGTTGTTGTTGTGAGCGCCGTTGGGGAGGAAATCAGCGATGTAAACGGTGACGTCATGACGCAGCAGCGGCAGCACCAGTCGGGCTCTGGGCGGTGTGAACAGAGCGGGAGCAAAAAAGGGAAACCGGAGCTGAACCAGAAAAGCTCTAGCTCGGAGCTAGAAAGGGAAAAGCGCTGGGGTGAAAGCCGCATGAGTCAGTGTTGTGGTGCTGTTGCTTTGGTCTGGATCTGTGAGCTAACCACGCCCCGTTCATTTGCATATAGGAAATGGAAACGTGTCATTATGAAATAAAAGTCCCCTGAAATAAATAAATGTGTCATTATGAAATACAAGTCTCTTGAAATAAATAAATGTGTCATTATGAAATAAAAGTCCCATGAAATAAATAAATGTGTATTTAAATGTACATGTATACATATTTATTGCCTCATTTATTTATTTCATAGGCATATTTATATATATATATGTATTTAATTAATTATTTATGTATGTATTTATTTAATTTTGGCTTAAATGGCATTCCATAAAAAGCAACATAGTGTTGTGTTATTCAATAATACACGTGAGTTCAACTGTCACAATTAAGGATGTTTTTATTGGTAGCCCACATGCTAGAACACTCCTAGCTCACATGACCATAATTGTCTGCCTAAGACGTTATAGCCCCGTGCCCGTAGGGCTTCACTACTGTTGGCTAACACACAAACAGCACAATAATACCACATCTCCCTTTTTAGGAACCAATGACTGCCATTGACTCCACCTTAGAGGATTATTCTGCCTCTGCAGGGTGGAAGGTCTGTTCCTATCTGAACCAGAGATATAAAATAACAGTTAACTCAAGACCTTCATGAACCATATGATATTTTGTGTATTACACAACATTAATGCACAACATTTTGAAAAAACAGTTTTTTTCTCTCTTATAAAACTATATATTTTCTCTTAGGCTTCTGGTTTGTTTACAAATCCAACCTAGCCGGTCTCACCACGGCTCTCCCAGACCTGGCTCTAGGGGTAGGTGGCGGATCTCGAGCACTGGGCTCCGGAGGTTCTGCAATACGCTGCTCTGGAACACCTCCTGAATGCTGCTCTGCTGCATCCCTGCCGCTCTGCTCTGACGAGGAGTACATGGGGATGAGATGATGGCGATTACGCCGGACTGTCCCATGAGGTCCCTCAAGAATGTAGGAGCGCGGCGTGTTGTGACTGCCAATAACCGTTCCACTCGCCTTCTGATCCGTGACCCAAACCTCTTTTCCCGGTGCAAGCCTCTCGAGACTTCTCACTCGATGACGCAGGTTGTACCGCTGTGCATCCTTTATTCTCCTCTCTCTTTCTCGCAGAACTACAGCCTCGCTGTCGGGAAGAGCAGGATCCAGCAGCGCTGGTAATGTTGGCACCGTCGTGCGAAGCCTCCTCCCCATGAGAAGTTGTGCAGGGCTATACCCGTTCTGTAGTGGGGTGGCTCTGTAAGAGCCAGATATGGGTCTCCTGCTTTCTTAAGGAGACTCTTCACAGTCTTCACAGCCCGTTCTGCCTCACCGTTGCTCTGTGGATATTTCGGGCTGCTGGTGACGTGTTTAAATCCATACGACTCTGCAAACTCTTCAAATGCCCTTCCCGAGAAATGCGGCCCGTTGTCTGTGACCAGCGTCTCAGGGATACCATGTTGTGCAAAGATGGATTTGAGATGGTGGATTACATCTGTTGATCTTGTGGGTGTCAGCAAAGCCATTTCCACATACCTTGATGCATAATCCACTACCAGCAGATATGACTTGCTTCCCAGCATAAACAAGTCGGCACCCAGTTTCTGCCATGGTCGGCCTGGGTATTGTGTTGGCATCAGCGGCTCTTTGGGGTTCTGTCTCTCCTTGCTGCATGTCCGGCAGTTGAGAACCAACTCATTCAGCTGCTGACTTAGCCCTGGCCACCATACAGACTGTCGGGCACGCTCCCTACACTTCACCACTCCTTGGTGACCTTCACTTGGTGAAAGTGTATCGGCCATCCACAGGCTTTTCCCTGGCACATGTGTGATTGAGTAGGAATAACGCATCAGGTGCATCCGGAAACGTTGAACCCGTGGGGGAAGCGCATCCAATGCCTGAGACCCAGGAGACTCAGTAGAGGTTTATGATCCGTTTCCAGCTCAAAGTGTCTGCCGATGAGAAAGTTGCAAAACCTTTCACAAGCCCAGGTTAAGCCTAAAGCTTCCTTTTCTACCTGTGCGT